ATAATCCCTTAGGACGATCCCTACTCACTCTTGCTAAGTTAGTAGTGGTGTTGGTAGTGGTTTTTATAAATTTAAATTTAACATAAAAGGCTTTTCTTGAACCACACATTCACTACATTTAGTTTGGCGTATTGGAACGGCCGTCGTCACGGTTCCTTAGGCTTCATGTTGATTGAAGGATTTGAAAAGAATGAACATATGTTTTAATCCTTTAAAAGATTAATTCTGACATAAATTTAGAGCAAGTAATTTAGGTTTAAATTTTAACAATATCCACATGTAAATTTGATAGACAAAATGATCACTACAACAAAATAGAGTTATGATAGAAGATTATTATTAGCAGCAGTCAAAGAAACCACTGCAACAAAAGACCTCACTCGTCAATGTAACAGCAAGAAAATGTGGAACGAAAATTTCATCAGTTCCGTAACACCATTGTGAAAAGAATCCAGTCTTTTTAGTCGACAGAGCTATTATCCAACTAGAATCAATTACATTGTTCAACGGAACCACTTCAACTCTGCATAAGATCAAGTTGGAAAAGAATGATTCTCCCAGCTTTTTACTAATCTACGTTGCTTCTTCTTTGGTTTTGGTGTCTTGGTTTCTTGAGTGTCAATTGGATCGATCTGTCAACTTCTCTTTCCCAAATCTCCACTCAACTTTGCCCTTGGTTTACATTTGGGAGGTGTCACCTGTTAGGATTTATATGCCCTGGCATGACAAATTCCTATTTGGATTATAGTAACATATGTACCTGACATATCTGAGATATTTATGATTTATATAATTAGTGAATTCAATGTATTATGTTTCGATTCATTATGGAATTGATAGTGTCCATTTGATTACAAGATATATTTATATATGTATGTAATGGCGATCAATACATGAATATAAATAGTGATCATAAATAGTTCATAGTCGGTAATTATGGATGGACTCGTTATTAACTAAAACTTGAACTGGATCCGCGTTAGGTTGAGATATATTGTGAGAGCCATCGTATACAATTGCTTCCTATCACTGTTATAACATTTGACTCTTAAGCATGAGAGAAGTATAAACTCTTTTATTAATTAATAATTACTTTGATTTGTGCGGCGGATACTTCGAGATCCTTAGACCAACACTTTGGGTAGTTATGTAATTAATAGTTAAAGGGTTATACTCTCAATATTTGTATCAATGTTACTTGTATTTATTTTATATTGATTATAGTTAATCACAAATTAAATTCGAAGGTCTTCGTGTGTTTTTAGACAAAATGATTGATTATATATTTATTTATTTAAATTATTATTTTTGTCAAACAAATATTTTATTATAATCAAGCCGAAATAATCAAATGCACCAAAATAAATATATTAATTAAGTAATCCAATTAATGGCTTTATTTATCCGATAACTAATTATGTATAGAAGAGTCAAAGTGCAATATTGACTTGGAGGTTATTTATTATTTAATTGGAATTCAATTAATTTCTTTTAGTGGAGTAGAAATTAATTAATGAATTAATTTAATTGGGTCTATGGACCTGGCCAATTATTGATTCATTATAGCCAAAAAAATAATAAGCCCAATAGAATTCTCACTCATAACCCAACTTGATATTGAAATACTATTAGATTTGAGATATGTGAATTAGAGATTGAGAAGGATTTATTATTTCATTTTCTTTTTTTTATATTGCTTATATATATACATGGATTCGTATATATTTGAAGAGTGACTTTTGGAAGAAAAGAAAGAATATATTTTCTCTCTCTAATTTTTAGGGTTTGCGTAGCAAAGATAAATAACCGAAGAAAAACAGAGATTGGTAAATGATGTTAATTTGGATAACCAGTACTACAACTAATGAAGTATAGCGAGTAGGGATCGTCTGCAGGGATTATACGTGTTAAAATTTAATTTCAACTCTAATGTAACAAGCCTATTTTTCCAAGGTCATTCATGGAAGCTTATAAGTGATTCCTAAAGGTAAAACCATTACCAAGAAGATGAAGATCCAATGAGAAAGTATCTAACAAAGGGATCTACAATAAGTGAGAACATTTACTTTAGAGGAGAGATCTAAGGTTTACTCAAATCTTGATGTAAGTTTTCAATTTATTAATTGAATGATACATCATATTTTATTTTTACATAAAACTTCTTTCTATGTGATGAATCAAGATCTATGTATGAAAATCCTTCAAAAAGTTTTAAAAACTTACACGTTTACGAACATCACCAACTCTGGCACTTTCACTCTTGGTTACAATTCGAGAAGTGTCACGCTTGATCTTCAGAATGATCCTAGGTGTTGCAGCTTTTGGCTTGCTGGTCAATTTTTTGCCATCATTCAGTTTTCTGCTTGGTTCAGCTGTGTCATTTCCCAATTTATCACAATGTTAAGGGTGTCCCCGACAGTATCAGCTATTCTGCCTTGCATTGCCCAAAATTTTCAGTTGTCGGGCCTTGCATTGCCTAACGGTGCAGTGCTCATTGCCAACCTTTTTGGCTAAGTAATCCATTTTTTCTTGTTTTATTTAAGTCTTTGGCCTGCCCAAATTGACCAACCAAAAACAATAAGAGGTTGAATAAGAAATAAAAACCATACATGTAGTACAATGAAACAACCACCACAGCATGCCAATTCAGGATTTAAGGATTTGCCCCATACAGTAAATCTTTTGACTATTTTTCATTAGTTCTTTGCTGTGATCCATTGTACTCTAAAGTGCTTAGGAAATAAAAACTGAATAAATATTTCCTATTAGTTACATACAGTCTAGACAGATAATAGAAATATTAAAATATTTCCTATTTATAGCAGTAGTACTATTGATGCTGCATTACAAATATAAAAATGTAAGCAGTTCGAAACAATCATGTTTTTTGGAAGAAGTTTTTTAACAAATAACAAAAAAAGACCATCAGTTTTCCAGCAATATTATAAGTTTTGTGACATATTTAAAAAGATGTTAGTCTTTACCAATTAAAGATTTTTGGGTTAAAAACATCACATATTAAACACATTTATGAAGGATTGGGAAAAGCCTCATCAGTCAATAAACAATACTAACATGTCAGATATAGCCTCGGTACTTGGAACATCCTTTTCTTACCTCTGTGTGGAGGGAAAAATCTCCTTCGAATAAGAATGGAACACGTCACCATTATATAAATGTGCATTTGGGAGATTTCAGAAGCCCATCCGAATCAAGCCCAAGTTACGTTGTGCTCTAACCCATTATCATTTATGTTGGGCCTCCAAGGCCAAGTAAGAGTATCGATCAGCCCAACGTCACCGCTGTTGAAGTTTTGGCCCATTGGTCAAGTCACTTACACCAAACCACATCCGGCCCAAGTATAATTAAATATGGCTCAGTCCTATTAAGTAAATGAGTCAACCCGGAAGGAAAGTTTTTATACAAAGCAAGTTCTACGTAAGAAATATCATACAATAGAAAGAACTCTATTTGTAAAGAAAGTCATGTATGGTAAGAATTGGAGGACAAGCAAAGGGAGTCCTACCATAATTTTACCAACTTTTATGTATAAATAGAGGCCTAGACCTCCAATAAAGGGGCGAGCAATTCAATTCTTCTCTAGACACTATTCTTGTTTATTCTTTACTATTCTTGAGTGTGTTGTATTATTTTTTCTCAATCGTTATTGGTTGAGCAGAATTTTGCACCTACACTTTGGCACCGTCTGTGGGAACGTGTGCAAATATATTCCCACTCTTGTTTCACTAGTGAATCCTACAACTACCATCCGGAATGTTGAATGGAGGATCTTCAACAGATCAATAGACGGAGTTGATGCAGAAGATGCGTGAAGAGTTTCTACACCAGTTTGACGTACTTCGTCAGGTAAACGAAGCAAGCGTGGCTCAGAACGCCTTGCTTCAATAACAGAATAACACTCTGTAAATGACGATGGCTCAATTGGCACCACCGCCACCAATGGGTGACACAGCAGCACCCCCTAATTAGAATATTCCTCCGGTTACCGGGCTTCTACCTAATGGGGCACGACCCAACAAGGCTCAGCCAAATGAGGTTCAGCAACAACAGAGGGCAAGATCTGAGGCTGTGGCTTCAAACAACGTCCCTCGTCGCGCACAGGACGAGTAAGTCGAGTCTAGCCATAAGCTCACAGTGTGGTCCAATGGAATTCCAAATGGTGCCGGTGTTCAGGATGCATTTGATGAGAAAAGACTCCTGAAGATTCAGACACCTGCTGAGATGGCTAAAGAGCATAAAAACTCATTGGTCAAAACTCCTTTCACTGATGATGTGTATATGGTTGAGAGGCCCAAGAAATTTACCATGCCTTCTTTTATTCAGTTTGATGGAACGGGGGATCCTTCTCGACACCTAGATCATTATGCGCAAAAGATGGCTTTGGATGATCGTAATGACCCTTGGATGTGCAGAGTTTTTCCTACCAGCTTGACAGGAGCAGCACTAGAGTGGTTCAGGAATAGGCCGCATAAGTCTATCCCGGATTACGTAACTCTGTGCACCATGTTCCTGGCACAATATTGCGGAAATAAGAAACAAAAGAAGAGCATTGCCAGCCTTTTCACTGTAAGGCAAAAAAAGGGGGAAACATTGCAGGATTTCTTATCTAGATTCAATATAGAAGCCTCGGAAATAGCAGATTGTCATCTCGCGACTGCTATAGAAACGTTTAAACTCGCGATGATTCAGGGGATGAAGTTCCACACTTCCTTAGTCAAATATTCTCCTTCCGACATGCAAACTCTCAATGCCAGGGCCCAGATCTACATTCTGCTCGAGGAAAATATAGCCCACCGAGCGCAGCACGCCACCCTCGTGACAGTGGAGAACAAGCCTCGAGAGAGAATTCCAAATTTAAAGATTCAAAAAAACCAACGCGCCTCAACGCTGATCACCCAGGCACCTGAGAAGAGGCAAAGGATAGAGGAAAGGTTTACACCTCTCCGAACTACCTTAGCTCGGCCTTCCAAGAGAATAAGATGAAGTTCACAGCCCCACAGCCAATAAAGCAACCCCTGGAGCAAAGGGACAAAAGCAAGCATTACGCTTATTATCGAGATTATGGGCATTCAACCAATAATTGCAGATCCCTTAGGCGACAAGTGGAAAATATGATAGCCAGAAGTGAGTTGGCGGACTACCTCATGACAAAAGAGTATGTAAAGCCCCGCGAGGTCTATCCTCGCAATGTAGAAGGTACACAAGTAAAGGTCATTCATGCAATACATGGCAGGTCTGAAGATGATCAAGAGTTTGAGGGGGTATACAGATCCAGATTGAGGGCATCCCACAAGCTCAAGAAGATATCCTCAGTCAATGATATCGCTTCGGGTAGCATCAGTATTGGATTCGGAGATGGCGACCTATCCAAAGTTTAACTCCCCCACAAGGATCCATTGGTCGTCAGTCTTTTAGTGGCCAATTGTATGATCAAGAGGGTTTTGATAGACCCAGGAAGTAGCGCCAACATCATCACAAAAACGGTCTTTGAACAGCTAGAGATCCCGTCATCATCTATTCGACCTACCTCCAACCCATTGATGGGATTTGATGGCACGAGTAGATCCCCTTGGAGTAATAGACTTATCCGTAACTGCAGCGAAGAGGACTCTGAAGGAGAACTTTGTTTTAACAGAGATCCATCCTTTTTATAATCTCATCGTGGGAAGAGATTGGATACACCGGATGAGAGGAGTTCCGTCCACCCTTCACCAGGTAATGCGGTGCTTGTCTCCGGACGAAAAAGAAGTGATTAATCTATGGGGCAATCAAGTCGCTGCGAAGGAATGCTATATGTTGACACAGGCTAAAGCAAAGAAGGTGTCTACTTAGCAGCAACCAGGTGTGGCTTCCAAAAATATACCCAAATAGCAATTACAGAGCCCTCTGCCCAAGTATCTTAAGGTAAAGAAGGAAAAGGAAATTACGAAGCCTACCGAGGAGACCCTTGAAGCTGTGGAAGTTATCCTCGGTGACCCTCAGAAGGTCACTTATTTAGGCTCTTCCTCCACATCCGAAGAAAATGAGGCATTAATTGATGTCATTCGGAGTAATGCAGATGCTTTTGCATGGGATCACTTGGACATGGTAGGAATCGATCCTTTAGTCTCCTGTCATAGCCTGAAGGTGGATCCGGAGTTCCGACCGGTTAAGTAGAAACACCGAAGGTTTGCCCCCGAACGCAATCTCATTATAGCTGAAGAAGTGAACAAGTTATTGTAAGCAGGTTTCATTCGAGAAGTGCAATATCCACAATGGCTGTCAAACGTAGTGGTCGTACAAAAGAACAATGGAAAGTGGAGGGTTTGTGTAGACTATACCAACCTTAACAAAGCCTGCCTTAAATATAGTTTCCCTCTGCCAAAAATAGATCAGATGGTTGATGCTACTACCGGCTACGAGAGGCTAACATTCCTTGATGCGTACTCGGGATACAATCAAATTCCTATGAACCCTGAAGATAAAGAAAAAACGGCTTTCATTACAGAAAATGGGACTTATTGTTACAAGGTCATGCCCTTCGGGCTGAAAAACGCTGGGGCTATTTATCAACGCCTTGTCAATAAGATCTTCGATAATTTGTTGGGAAAAATAGTTGAAGCATATATAGATGACATGGTGGTCAAAAGTGTGAAGAAGGAAGACCATCCGAAGCACCTCCAGGAAGTTTTCAATACCTTGAAGAAGTACAACATGAAGCTGAATCCATCCAAGTGCTCATTTGCGATATCATTGGGTCAATTTCTCGGCCACATAGTGAATAAAAGAGGGATAGAGGTAAGTCCAGCTCAGGCTAAGGCCCTCATACAGAATCAGGAACCAAAAAATTGTATGGAGGTACAAGTTCTTACCGGTCGGATCGCAGCCCTCAGCCGGTTTATATCCCGATTATCAGATAAGTGCAAACCATTCTTCGATGCTATAAGATCTAAGAATAAAGATATATGGGGACCTTAGCAGCAGGAGGCCCTCCATCAGTTGAAAGGTTATATAACCGAACCACTAATTCTATCCGCTCCAAAACCCGAGGAGGTTCTTATTATGTATTTAGCAATTTCTAGCATAGCGACAAGTGCAGCATTGATTAGAGAGGAAGGAAAGCGGCAATATCCAGTCTTTTACACAAGTAAAACAATGATGGATGAGGAGACACGGTATAGCAAAGTAGAGAAAATCATCCTAGCCTTGGTCTATGCCAAGAGAAAGCTTCGGCATTAGTTTGAATCTCACAGCATTGTGGTACTCACCAACTATCCTATACGGGGTATACTCTCTAAGCCCGATCTATCTGGGAGAATTACCAAATGGGTTATCGAACTCAGTTCCTTCGACTTAACATATAAACCGAAGGTGTCGCATAAGGGATAAGCCGTAGCAGACTTTCTTTTAGAATATGAAGACACTCCCGAAGAGCCAGAACCCCCTGAACCACAGTGGGAGCTTCGAGTCAATGGCTCCTTGAATCAAACAAGTGCAGGAGTAGGGGTTGTTATGTCAACACCCGAAGGCACCAAGTTGCAGTAGTCTATTTGCTTGAATTTCCCTACTACGAACAATGAGGCCAAATATGAGGCGTTACTTGCTGGTCTTCGATTGGCCAGCAACCTCCAGGTACGTTGTTTAAAGATTTTTAGTGACTCACAGTTTGTTATAAATCAAGTGACAGGTCAGTATCATCCCAAAGAGGAAAGAATGAAGGCATATAAAGAAGCTGTGGAGAATGTTACATGAGGATTTGATTAAGTCGAATTCTATCAGGTACCTCGTGTTGAAAATGCCGAAGCAGATCAATTGGCCACAGCAGCGTCATCCTCAAATGAAGATCTGACTCGAATTGTGCCGATTGACGTCTTGGACGAACCCAGCATTAACCCTCAGCAAGAAGTAATGGTGATTCCAATTATTCCTTGAGAGCCATGCTGAATTGATCCATTGGAAGCCTACCTCAAGCATGGAATCCTTCCAAACCAGAAACCTAAGGCACGGAAGCTCTGACTCACCGCAGCTAAATATGCCATCATTAACAACCAGTTATATCGGAAGTCATTTTCAGGTCCTTACCTGAAATGTTTAAGCCCTACTGAGGCTCTTGTGGTGTTGAAACAAATCCATGATGGAGATTACGGCAACCATTCTGGGGGTAGATCCCTTGTACATAAAGTTCTAACTCAAGGCTACTTCTGGTCGTACTTGGCTCGGAATGCTGAAGAGTATACTCGGAGATGTGACAAATGTCAATGCCATGGTCCAATGAAGCATCAACCTGCCGAAAATTTGCATGCAATGGCAAATCCATGGCCATTCGCACAATGGGGGATTGATATGGTAGGCCCTTTACCCAAGACCGTGGAACAAAAGGAGTACGTGCTACTGGCTACAAATTATTTTACTAAATGGGTAGAAGCCGAGGCTTACTCAAGTGTGACCCATGAGCAGGTCAAAAGTTTCCTTTGGAACAACATCATTTGCCGGTTTGAGGTCACAAAAGTCATTATGATGGACAATGGTAAGAACCTCGACAATAAAAGTACAAGAAAATTCTTCACTGAGCATGGAATTGTACAAAAGCTAGCTGCAGTCAGTCATCCACAAGGGAATGGACAGGCTGAAATAACTAACCGAACCATTTTCAATTGTTTAAAGAATAAGCTGGAGAAACTCAAACAAAATGGTACGAGAATCTCCCTCAGGTACTTTGGGCATACCGAACCACTCCACGGCGGCCCACGGGGGAAAGTCCCTTTGCCATAGCTTATGGATCCGAAGCTGTGATCCCAACCGAAGCGGCAGTTCCAACCCTTCGGACATTCTTATTGCTTGAAGGAAACAACAGTCAGAGCAGCTCGAACATAGTCTCGATCTTCTAGACGAAAAAAGGGATGCTGCAACAATTAGGCTTACTTCATATCAGCAACAGCTGCGCAACGGTTATAACAAACGCGTCAGGTTCAGGAGCTTTGTGGTAGGCGATTGGGTTTTGAAGCAAGAGACAGCTCATGTAAAGAAATTGGAACCTAATTGGACCGAATCCTACAGGATTACCGAAGTAGTGGTGAAGAGAGCATATCGTTTGGCCAAAGCTGATGGACGCCCCATTGCGCATCCTTAGAATGCAATACACCTTAAAATGTATTTCCATTAGATAAGTTTGTCAATTTTGCTAAGAATTCTTCACAAATAAGGCTGCGTATGCCCACAGTCAGTCAAGTTTTTCTTTATTTTGCTTCTATCATATTAAGTACAATTCTACTCCATTTATTTCTTTCTATAAAAATGGGGGCCATACTACTCTATGATTATGCAATTTTTATGCAAAGAAATTTTTATGCAAAGCAATGTTAGAAGCAAGTTATTAAAAAGCATTTGTCACAATGATTTTTAAAGCATGAGTTATGGCCTATGGTTAAAACTCTCTGTCCCACATCGATAAAAAAAGTATGTATTACATTCTCTTATATATGGGAATATTCAAATAGTTGATTGCGGTGTAAGGAGGGCCCACTGGTATTAAAGGCCGGCAAGCCCAATACCAGAGGCATTCCTTACACTGACCTTTTTGACAAAGTTTAGTCTATGTCCCACATCGGATAAAAATAGAAAAGCAATGTGGTTAATATATGCGTAGTCCACTACATTTGGTTGCCAAGAAGGGAGTCTCAGTGGAGGAAAGTCTCCAAAGTAAACAAATAGGAAACTTCCCAGCCACTGTTACTCGTTTTCTTGGCCTCCTATCATTTTTGAGTCTTCAGCCTCATGATAAGTTGTTTAAAAAAATATATACGCCTCGGACCCTAAGTGTCTGGCTCGGCAAACCTCCCCTCAAGCTTAGCGCCGGGGAGTAATTTACTCGCCTCGGACCCTAAGTGTCCGGCTCGGCAAACCTCCCCTCAGGCTCAGCGCTGGGGAGTAATTTATTCGCTTCGGACCCTAAGTGTCCGGCTCAACAAACCTTACTCTTACGCTCATATTCACTGATTCTAAGTTCGGTAATATAAGCCACGAGATTGTCCCACATCGAAAAACTACAAGAAGAAACAAGTATAAATATACTTACTTCACACAAATCCATTTCAGGAAGGGTTCCCTTGACGGTTAAATCACCAAAGGAAAAAGCAATCCTTTATTATCAGATAAACCGTTAGAGGAGATCTCTTCTTCACATCTTATTTATTTTGCTTCGGACTAGAACAGATAAGGAACCCTCAGGCAAAGTACTTTCCTTAAAAATAATCCCATCCAACAAAGTGTGTGCAATATTAAAAGCATACAAGCATACTCAGCCGAAGCAAAATAAAAACGACACAGCTTAAGAAACATGGTTATATCATTCATGTTTATCATTCCTAATATTGTTTCATTACACAAAAAAAAAAAACAA